TTTTTAGGGTAAGTGACTTCCCCAAACTCTCCCTAGGACCTCGGGTATTACTAGGCTCGTTTAGGACTCGGTTTAGGCAATTTATGTGGCTGTTTTAGGACTTAGAACAGGGCTGGATGTTCAGATGTTGTGGGCTGATTTGGGGATTGAAAATCTGTGATTTAGTAAGCTCGGATAGGACTGAGATGATGTGGAATGATCGCGACTAAATTGTGTGTTCGATTGGTAGTTTTATGATTTGTATGGGTTTAATTGGATAGTTGTACGACTTGTGATTGTGGGCTGGCTTGGAATATGTTGTGGGCTGATTATGTGCAGCCGTGTGTGCTATGTGTGTGGCCGTGAGGTGTGGTGGTGTGGTAGTGCGATTGCGCAGTGAGTTCGCGTGCCAAGCATGGGTGTTCGTGTGACGAAGATGTGCATTGCGAAGTGTGTGTGGAGTGTGAAATAGTGGGTGACCGTGTGTATGTGTGGTCGTGTGGTAAGTGTGGCACGTGAGGTGCGAAGGTACGGGAATGTAGGATTGGTTGGAAAGGGTCCGTCCTGAGGCGTGTTCGTTTACGCGGGATGATGCCGTCCCTGACGAGGTGACGATGCCCGGCCCGACGGGGTGTCGATGCCTGACGAGGTCAGAAGACCGTTGGCCTGATGCGTTTTACGCGGGCGCGGTAGAGAAGGAAGTGAGGAGGTAGGATTCCGTCCTGAGGCGTGTTCGTTTACGTGGGACGATGCCGTCCCTGACGAGCTGATGATGCCCGGCCCGACGGGGTGACGATGCCTGAAGAAGTCAGAAGACCGTGGGCCTGATGCGTTTTACGCGGGCACGGTAGTGGTGGGAAAGTTGAGAATGAGCTGGAATTGGCTTGACGTGTGAGGATTATGGAAGCGGACGCATGGCGTAATATAGTGCGCGATTATGGGGTAAAAACTGCTAGGCATGGTATGGGACGTGCCCAAGTGGGTTTTGCCTTATAATCGAGGCTGTCGTGAGTTCGTGTGTGAGTGTGGCTTGTATCGCGTATTGTAGTGCTCGATTATGGGGTAAAAACTATTCGGCATGGTATGGGACGTGCCCGAGTGGGTTTTGCCTTATAATCGAGGTACGCGCGTGGTTGTGATGCTTTACTGTGATATGTTGGCTGTGTGGTTATCTAACATGCAGGGACGTGCATGATGGGTCCCAGGTAAGATCGTATGTGGTTGTTAGTTTGGTTGATTGTTGGGTGTTATGCATGTTTCGTCTGGCGGTACACGAGAGCCTATGTGGGGTTTGGAATTGTACACTTATTGAGATTCGTCTCATAGTTGTATAATCCAAAATTTCAGATCTCCAACCTTAGACCCAGGAGGCCCGCCTCTTCTTTTTGGAGTTTGAAGAGCCGCCTATGGTGCCCAGTGGAGTTGCAGGTGATTTTCTGGAGCAGAAGCCAGATGACTCAAGAGCAGATTGGAAGAGGGCAACCAGTAGTTTCCCCCTAGGGTATTTTAGGGGTTGCGCAGAATAGGTCAACCTTCAGTGAAACTAAGTTAACCAAACCACCCGATCCTTTTGTTATACCGGTGGTTTTGAAATGCTAGTTTGCTAAATATGTTTGTAAGACGATGTTTGTATGCTTGGTGTAATAGTATTGTATATAAATGATTGTTGTTGTTTTTATTTGACTGTTTTGTTAGTCTGCCCCGTCGTTGTCTTTATAGTCAGGGGTTTTGTATTCGCTTCCGCATGTGTTTCTGATGTTCGGGTTGGGTCGGCGATGTTCCTGAGACGTTGCAACCATTTGACCGGTGCGGGATGTCGCGAGCTCGATGGGGTTCGGGGCGTGACAGCTCGAGCCTCGCCTTGGTCGGGCGAGGCTCGACCTCGCCAGTGGCCGGCGAGGTCGAGCTCGCCGGCCTCTGGTCTCTGGCCGGTCGCTGGACCGGCCAGAGGAAGGAGGGGGGACCAAAAAAAAAAAGTGGAAAAAAAAGAAAAAAAAAGGAAAAAAAAATTTCAAAAAAATATTAAAATATCATTAAAGTTGTCCACGTCAGCGCCACGTCGGCGCCGGTGACCAGCCGCCGGCCGACAGGCATCCATGTCGGCAAATTCCGATCAAAATTGACCGGAAGGACTAAATTGGCACAAAAACAAAAGGTTTAGGACTGAATTGGCACCAATTTAAAAGGTTTAGGACTTAATTGGCACCCAAAAAAGGTTTAGGACTAAATTGGCACCAATGCAAAAGTTTTAGAACTGAATTGGCACCAAAAAAAGGTTTAGGACTAAATTGGCACAATGCAAAAGGTTTAGGACTTTTTTGGCACTTTTCCCGTTAAACAGCTGCAATTAAACAGAAACTTCTCTGAGCCTAGTTTTACAACTGCTAATACATAATAATAATAATTATTGTTGTTGTAAAAATATGTCTTGATGTATTTGAAAAAGGAGATCAAAGACCAAGCAATTATCGACCAACTTTTCACCGACCATTATTTAATAAATTGGTTCTATATTCTCAATATCTCATTATCATATATTAATGTATGCGCGTGTATCTTCTGCTTCCCCACCGCGCATTTGTTTAAGCCGAATCGATTTAACGTTATGCTAATTTAAATTGCAGATCTTTCCCGAAGCCTCCTCCTTCTTGTCCTTACACGGCTTACCCCTTTCCACGAGTGTGCATTGACCTTTAATATGAAATCACGTCACCCGAAAGGTCGAACACAAATCAGACTCGCAATCATTAAGCGACATTATTTTATGGTCGAGTTAGATAGATCAAGACAATTGCTAGTCAGTTCGTCATTTGACGCGTGTGACACGTCAATAATGTGTACTAGAATCGGGTCACACGATGATACATGTCACAAATTAGGTCAACCACTAGCACAAATTCATTTTAATGGCTAATTAATTTGAGAATAGAGAGAAGGAGCAGCAATTTGCAGAGCCCATAGTTCCGAAAGGTAGATCGATAATTAGATTACTGGAATGAGGGATTGAGAGTGGAGAGGTTGACTAGAGATTGTGCTCCTAAAGTAGCAGTATACATACTATATTATTATAGTATTGTCGATTTTACCTAAGCTCAATCTAGAAGCCATCTTTCTCGTGTTAAAAGAGGTAGGATTGTGTCTGAGCAATGTCGCTAGAAGATGGGTGCGACGTTTTCCTTGTAGGTTGCGAACAACATCAACTTTTTCGTGTCAAAAGTCCAAATTCAAATACGCACTTTCCAAAAGGGTTACGCTTTTTCCACTTCTCATTTGATCTAGACATTCCCCTTTTTGTGTTTTGATCTTACTATCTCTTGTGTAGCCTACCACTTCTATCATAGCTTTAGAAAAATGGTTAAAAATTTTCTTTTTTTTCCTTGAAAATCCTACTTTCCTTCTTTTTTCTTTCCACGCCTTTGACATCTCAGTTCTTGGCTCTTGTAAATTGATCCCTCTTTTTCTCTCTCGTAGGCCATTCTTGTTTTTCTATGCCTCCCTACTCCTGAAGTAGCCGGGAACCGGGACAAGGTTGGCTTGCATTCATACTAATAAAGATCGAATTCACAAAGACAAGGTAAACATACATTGGCAACCCCAACAAGCCCCACAAAAAGATCACCCTCCATATCGTTGCTGGTTGTGGACTGATCGCCTCATGTTGTCAAGTTCTCGAGACAGACATCCAGCCACACGCATCGTCACATGTTTGGTGAGTTCTCAAGTAAAAACGATTACATCGACTACATGATCCTCATGCCCTGCCATCCTAGACAACTAGCCAATGGTGGAGTCAACGGTGCTAAGCACATCCTCGGGCTCCAAACGGGACGCTTTGAGAGGGTACAAATTGACCTAGTTTGGTTATGAAATGTAGCAACTGGGTGACGAGGGTGGGTGTGGGAACGGTGGGGCAAAGATGGACCACGACTTATCCGTACTGAAGTTGAACAACAAGTTGATGCTCTTGAGGAGCCAAACTAGAGACTTAAACCCCACGCGATGGTAGTTCGACAGTGTGGAGGACGACGGGGTCGGCATCATAGATACTCAACTTCTCAATGCCCTACTACTTAAGGATCAAGGAGGCATAGAAAGAAGAGAATAGCAAGCAAGAGAGAAAATATAGCGACAGAGTCGAAAACTAAGACGTCAAAGGCGTGGAAAGAAAGAGGAAGAAGGATAGTGGGACCCGCAAGCAAAAAAGGAGTAGAAAAAGCGCGACCCTTAAAAAAAAATTGTATATATGGAAGAAAACTATGCAAATTAATACCATGGCAGCAAACGTTAATGCTGGATTGGGTATTCTTTGGATGGGTCTCTTAGTTTTTCTTCTGAAGTCAGATGTTGGGCCAAGCTTATATCATTACCTCGATGGCTATCAAGGCCCACAAATCTCTCCTACAAATGAAAAAATTAGGCCCTATAACCGAGTTTCTCTTCCACATGGACTAGGTCAATCATCGCCGTTGATGACATAGTTTCCATAAAAATTATTGGCTGCAGAGGGACATATTAATCCCTGGACCTGAGTCCATACAAGTATTTATACGATCAATGCGGCACGAACCCAACCATGCTTCTCGACAAGTGAAAAAAAACTTCATTTCTTTCGACCATCGATGCCCAAAGTTGTTCGGTGGCATGGCGCCAACACGCGACGATAAGTCGTTGGTTGTGCAAGAAATGCATTGCGGTTCACATGTTCTTTTAGGGCGATTCAGGGCGAGTACTGCTTCTTGCGACACGATCGACTCGGCTCATGCCCGGCCACACTGCACCAGAGCAAGTTCATGGCATTCTTGGTAATCCATACCCAGTTAGGACCTGAAAAGGAAAATAATGGGCAATTCAGAAAATTTTAATTTTTCTCTCGGACCAAACCATTATAAGGCATCGCTTCCTATTATTCTACTAAAGTCAAAGAATTAGCCTGATCAATCTGGGCAAGTTAGCTTCAACCATACTTTAACAAAATATATTTTTGACATCGCAATATTCGCTGATCTCAGGACCATTTTGTTTGCTCCTTCCTAGTCTTATGTTGAAGGTTACACAACACCAACCAACATTCACTTTCTCCTTCCTTCGAATTCAACCACCGCAAGGACTTGCCTATTTCACATACATAGACACATCAGAGACTCGCAACAAACTGAAGGTGCTCGCAATTGTGGGGATAGAACAGCAAGCAACAGAGATGATCGAGAAGAGCGACCCAAGAATCAGATGGGACAAGTCCCCTTTCCTCCACACATCTGATATGATCAAATCGGCCATTGGACTTGCGTACCGGAACCCGACGTTCCTCGCCTTCTCGGTCTTTGCGTCCCTCCCGCTGTTCCTCGTCATGCTGATCCACGAACTGGCCGTCCTATGCATCTTCGCGGACGCTTCGTCCCGGCTGAGGCTCGTGTCGCCCTACTCCAGCCAGAGGCTCCACCTCGCCTCCGGATTGATTCAAGAAACATTCGTCAAGGTCCTCCAAGCGAGCCTTCTTTACTCGGTCCCCGCTCTCCTGCTCAATATCCTGACCGCGGTGACGACCGTGCATTCTTCGTTCGCCATCTTCGCCGAAGGCCGATCGGCGTGTCTCTGGGACATGCTGAAGGACTCCATCACCAAGGCAAGGTGGAAGTGGCCCCTGATAACTTCCACTCTCGTCTCGTTCTTCTCCCTCATTTTCATTTTTTGGGTCTGCATTGTCTCCTGGGGCGGCGTCGGCGGCTTCTTCGCTTCAGGGAAAATATTGTATCTGAGCTTATGGGGCTTCATCTCGGTCGTAGCCATGACCAAGTGGCTGGAGTACAGAGCGGTGTGGGACGTGGCGATCGTCCTTTCGATATCGGAGGACAAGAGCGTGTTGGAGGCGTTGTCGACCGCGTCGAGCATAACCAAGGGCAATAGAACCAGAGGGTGTGTGCTGATGCTGCTGAATTTCGCGTGGTGGCTCGGGCTCAGGGTCTTGGGCTTCCACGCGAGAGGGAGATTCATGGCAAAATCCGCGCACGCGGTGGCGGTTGCAGAGACCGGGTTGGTTTGCGTGGGGAAGGTGATGGAGTGGGTGGTGTGCGTGGTGTATTGCCACGACTGCAAGAGGAGATCGAGCAGAGACAAGGTGGACTTGGAAGGAGGAGAGCACGCAATGTTGCTCCGTACAGTTTCTTCATGAAAAAGGATGATGATGATGCAATTTCTTGCTCTTACTTTGAATTGAACAGAGATGTTATCAGAGAAACTTCTGAGATTTCGGAACTAACTAATGATGCACTTTGAACACGTTAACCAAATCACCAAAAAAGGCGCCTTCACCTTGTAAATTGCAATGGTTCCGTACAAATAAATGTTTGTAAACGTGCGAAACTCCGAAGTGCTTTAGTCTATATTCATTCTCGTTCATCAAAGTTTGGAGATGTTTTCCATTCTACCAAAAAAAAAACTGTGAAATTATATATTAAATTAATACGACAAATACAATACGAGTTGGGTCTCCTATTGAATTTTTCAATCTGATTGACGTGATATAACCAGCCAATCATGTTACTCATATAGGCCGTTTGATATGTTTGTTATTCTTTATGACACTTAAATTTTGAGATTACCGATCTTTAATTGGCTTATTACACCACGACATGTGTCTCTGCCGGATTGTCATAGGAAATATGCATTTTCCAATGAATGACGTGAATCGTTGCATTCCTGAATGGTCTTAACGGATTTGCAGTAGCATAAGCAGAAAAGGTTCCCAAAAAAAAAAAACGAAAAAAAATTGGAAGAACAGTGAATCGAGATAAGGATGGGTGGCCGAAGTGGGACCTGTGATTGCCGACGTTATTATTGGCAGAAATGTCAAAGTCTCCTCTTAATCTTGAGAAGTCAACTCCATCCCGATGAAGCAGAAGAGATAGGAAAATTGTTAAAATGACATAAATTTATTACATTTTTATCAATTCAGTAATAAATATTCTAATATTATCAATTAGGTCCTAAATATTTTCACGTTTTGTCAATCGAATCAATCCACGTTAATTCCTGCCGTGCCACATAGGACTGCCAGCATCGACGTCATCTGTTTTCAACTAAAATTGATCGGATGGACTCAATTAGCAAAACCTGAAAAGATTTAAAACTCAATTGATAAATTTAAAAGGTTAAATGAGGAATAATGAGGACACCGGAGATTTATGTAATTCGATCTGAGTGTTGGTACATTCTCTATATGAAGAGCTAGCCAAATTATAATTGCTCACTCGTTCGAATATTTTTCACGTCTAAATTACACTAAGTCCAAAATAATTATAAACAAAATAAAATAATTTGCATATAAAACTCATAGCATAAATCACCGATTGTCCAAGCCCAGAGAAAGAGCTCTTCGTTCTTTTCCTTTGTGCGCGGTCGTCGCTCCCGTGCACCCCACCAAAAATATAAAGCAAAGAAGTCATAATAAGCTCATTTGTTGACCGACCAATCACAGTGCAAAGAAGAGACGTCCACCGTACGGGCCAAAAGGTTAATTCTTACTGTGGGCAATAAGAAATCCTCCTTTGGTTAGGATTTAATATATATATATATATATATATATATATATATATATATATATGTAAATATTCCACTGCACTAGGAAACAAGGGCACACCAATTGATATAAGAATCAACGTCTAGCTAGGACTTTCCTTTTACGCCTTGTTCAATTCGGTTGCGTCTCGTGCACGGGCTCAAATTCAGACATAATCTAACAGTGACCCCTTACAGCTTTTTTTCTTTTTAACGTGATCATTCATTCAATTTATAATGCAACAGCAAAAGCTCACCCTACTTTTGTTGTCATTTTCTCTCGTCCATTGATAATCTATTCAGACACCAAATCCTCAAATTTTTAATAAATTTCTAGCTTGAAGAAGCAACTACAAAAAAACTAGATTTTTGCCACGAAAATTTGCGACGAAAAAATTTTTTTCGCAAATTTGCGACAAATTTTCCAATGAAAAGTAAATTCGTTGGAAATTTCCAACGAATTTTCCCACGAATTTAAATTTTCCGGGCAATTATTTCAGTGTGTACAATTTTCGTTGGAAAATTCGTTGGAAATTTCCAACGAATTCAAAAAAACCCGGCATTATTCGGCATTTTTTATATTCGTTGGAAAATTTGTTGGAAATTTCCAACGAATTTCAATTTTCCGGGCAATTATTTAAGTGTGTACAATTTTCGTTGGAGAATTCGTTGGAAATTTCCAACGAATTCAAAAAAACTCGGTATTGTTCGGCATTTTTTTATATTCGTTGGAAAATTCGTTGGAAATTTCCAACGAATTTTCCAACGAAATTCAATTTTCCGAGCAATTATTTCAGTGTGTACAATTTTCGTTGGAAAATTCATTGGAAATTTCCAACGAATTTTCCAACGAATTTCAATTTTCCGAGCAATTATTTCAGTGTGTACAATTTTCGTTGGAAAATTCGTTGGAAATTTCCAACGAATTTTCCAACGAATTTCAATTTTCCGAGCAATTATTTCAGTGTGTACAATTTTCGTTGCAAAATTCGTGGGAAATTTCCCACGAATTTTGCAACGAAAACCCTACTCCTTCCTTATTCAATATTTTCGCGCTCATTATTCCCGCAACTCTCAATTTCCACATATTCTCTCTCTCTCTCTCTCTCTCTCTCTCTCTCTCTCTCCCTTGCTCTCTCTCTCTCTCTCTCTCTCTCTCTCTCTCTCTCTCTCTCCCTTGCTTCACCTTCTCCCTACGCGTCCCCCTCCGCCTCCATCCCCGCCGCCTCCCCTTCTCCTCCGGCTCCGGCGCCTTGGACACTAAGATCGGGGCCCTCAACTCCTGTAAGCCCCCCTCGGGCGACGTCGGCTCCCTCCCCAAAGGCGCCGCCGCGGCCATCCAGGGCCAGGCCCCCGCGGCGGTCGGCGCCCCCGACGCCACCATGGGCCGCCACCTCACCCGCCGCCTCGTCCAGATTGGCATCACCGACGTCACTCCATCCCCGGCGACTTCAACCTCACGCTCCTCGACCACCTCATCGCCGTCGCCGGTGAGCTCGAGGTCGCCCAGATCTGGGCGAGCTCGAGCTCGCCGGCCATGGCGAGCGTTCTGGGCGAGCTCGATGGCGAGCTCGGCCCTCGCCATGGCCGGCGAGGCCCGGCCTCATCGCCCGCGAGGCCGAGCTCGCCATGGCCGGCGAGCTCGAGCTCGCCCGATCTGGCCGAGTTCGGGCGAGCTCGAGCTCGCCGGCCATGGCGTGCTCGGCCCTCGCCATGGCCGGCGAGGGCCGAGCTCGCCATGGCCGGCGAGCTCGAGCTCGCCCGGATCCGGCCGAGTTTTGGGCGAGCTCGAGCTCGCCGGTGGCAGCCGGCCTCGCCGCGGCGAGGGCGATTTTTCGACCAAAATTTTTTTTTTTTGGAAAAAAAAAATTTGAAATTCGTCGGACGAATTATTATTGAAATTTTTTCGTTGGAAAAAAATTTCCACGATTTTTCGATCAAAAAATTTTTTTTGTAGTTTTTCCAACGAATTTAGCCACGAGTTTTTCAACGAATTTTCCAACGAAAAAAAATTCGTCGCAAATTTCCAACGAAAATTGAAATTTTTCGTTGGAAAAATTTGCGACGACGAATTACCAATGAATTTTTTTTCGTTGGAAAATTCGTTGGAAATTCGTTTTCCAACGAATTTTTCCAAATTTTTCGTTGGAAATTTCGTCGGAAAAAACATGTTTTTTTTGTAGTGCATCGATGCATAATTGATTGAAAAAATAGAGTTCTAGCTATCGAAAGAAACTTCTGTTCGTGAATCTTTTGCCTTTCTCTGCGTTGCGTGCTTTAAAGAATAGTGACTGAATAACAAACAAGATAACGCCATGGCATATAGATAAAAATTTTGTGCACATAACACAATACAATAAATCATACAAGACGAACCGAGTGCTGGCATCAGGATGCAAAGTATCTATAGGGCGCAATGCAAAAGTAATGTTAAGCATGTTGAGGTCCGTTCGTAAATTGATTCACAAAATAATATGATAGATAAAGCGTTCAAATAATGACATCGTGTTTATTGCTTTTCCAATTCGATTTGAATGATACTAGACACATTAAAATTGATCTGCTAAATCGATACAATGAGTACCATGAAAGGATATAGTCCATTATGATGTAGCTAGCAAGGATCACCTAGAGGGGGGGTGAATAGGTGATCTTAAAATTTTTTTATATTTTTATGCGGAAATGAAAAATCACAGATGAGTCTGAATAAAATTCAGATTCAAGATAGATTGAATAGATAGAGCTCTTGATGTGCAGAATGTAAAATAAGAGATAAGGGATAGAAAATCTGCACACAATTTTATAGTGGTTCGGCTTATAGTAAGCATACGTCCACTCTCCCACGCTGACAGCCTACCGGCTGGATTTCACTATGTAATCAATGAGGAATTACAGTTTTAGAGTGACAACACTCTTGTGTATGATAGGACTCTCTATTTCGCACAATTACCCTTACAAAGTATCCCTCAAGATCTTAATTTTGGCTCAGCAAGACAAGAGAAAAATGATCGGAGTATGCTCAGACTTTGGACTTGTTGATTCTTGATTCACTTTCACCTTCTGCTGCTCGTTGATCTCCTTAAATACCCCTCTACTTCCAAACTAGCCGTTAGATAGCTATCAGAGGATCATCTTCCAATCTTCACCTTGGACAGATTTGTATAATAAGCATTGAGTAGCCGTTGGATGACAGATTCTGAATCCCGCTGATTCTGGTCGCCCATACAATCAGAATCTTGGTTTCCATAAGTAGAGTTTTTATCCGTTGTAATGCATACTTGTCGAAGTATTTGATTGTCAATCAATTATAGCCTTAGATTGAAACAATCAAAACTTTCCTTCTGTGAAATCCATACTGGATCACTAGCTGTAATGTTTGGTTCTGAATTCTGCGTCTGCGTCTGAAGAAATTCTGCGTCTGCATCTGAAGAACTTCTGCGTCTGCGTCTGCGCCTGAAGAACTTCTGCGTCTGCATCTGAATAATTTCTTCGTCTGAATCTCAGAACTAAGATTATGTGGGTCTTCAATAAGGTATTTAACAGCTTGTAAAGTCTGAATAACTTCCTTCTGAGTCTTCCAGAATATACATACCTGGAATAAATTAGTTCAGAATAAGTATCAGATTTACAATAACA